TGTTAGGGGTATTCCCAAATAATCCTCTCCTGTTTCCAAATGAGCATTCGTGACAGCCAATCCAGTATGACCTTATGCACGTCCAGTTTAGCACGGAGGCCATCGGTAGGCATCGGTGTCTGGGTGCACATATTGGGATAGGTCTTCTGGTGTCATCATGTGTGGTCTCATTCTGTCACTGTCCTTGAAGTAGCGTTGATGTCAAAGATGTCTCAGCTACTCAGCTTCAATGTTGAAGTCTGCTTCATTTCGGCAAATAGGGGTGTTGTTGGAGATACGCGGAGTCCACTATCCGGAGTGGAGTCGGCGCTCCATTTCACGCCTATCTGCTTTCGTGGAGTTGGTGCTGCTGATGGATTGGTTGTGACGCAGGTTTTATGACTTTAAGGAAAGCCATAGGCCATGAGGACTTGTATAACGGTAGAGTACCGCGGTCCTCGCATCCCCATAAGAGCAAATATCTGATGCTCTTGAGGGTATATGGCATTGCCATATTGTTTCCTCGCATAGTGGTATCTCCTTCCCACTAGCTGGAAATCATAGTACTGTGCCTGGCCGGGACTTAACGATCCACTGGAATATAATCCAGCATTATCTCCATTGAGTGGAGAATCATCCATCAGGATTTGGTTGTGACTGTTGTGTCGAGTCTTCTGCTGCGGCGGTGGCGGCGGTTGCGACGACGGCGACGGCGGCAGCTGCTGCAGAGAATTCTCTCAACTCGTACCAGTTGAAGGAGAATCCACCAACTCCCTCTTCCCAGTAGAGTGTTCCTGATGGGTGTAACAGGCGTAACTACCAGGAACACGTGCACATTGGTACACATGTGTTGCTCCATTGCTGCCGGTGATTGTTTCATTTGAGGGTGTGAAGAGATTTTTGCTTCTCCCCTCAATGTATCCACGGGTAGCAATTCCTGGTATGCTCATCCGTGCCTCCGATGTACGGTCGGTAGAGCGCGTGATCGTGTTGTAGTAGTCTGCATCTCCCTCATTTGTTGACACATCGTGTTGCTTGACGTTCTCCTGCATCGTCGAAGTTACGTTGGTGCTTGTAACGCTTCGGCTTCTGGTAGAATCGCCTCCAATGCATGTGCCGTAGGGTCGCTAGTGAACGAGTACATGCCGGATTAGAGGTTAATTACTCCTCAATCTGTCAAGCATCGTGACGTGCACGGAATTTTCTTCCACGCAAGTCATTAACACCTGGAATCGCGACGCATGATTGGTGTGTCGCCTCGTGAGGTCGATGTTGAGACTGCTCCAATCAATCACCTCGGATGGCTGAGATTCTTGATGAAAATGAATCGTTCAGCTCCTGTTACGAAGTAGTGTCTCGCTGGCCTTGACGAGACGGGTTCACTGCGTCAGCGTTGCGTGCGAAATCTGCTCCTTCGCAGCAACTTGAACTTCGGAGCATTGCAAGAGAAAACGGCTACTTCTCTGCAATCCCATAACTTGTCGATCAATTTGTATGAAAAAGTGTCTCGTGGATGGAGAACATGTCTTCACGCAGCTCCATTGTTTTTCCTGGGTGAAGATCCTGTCGTGTTGATGTCGATTCATTTTTAACGGAGATGACCTCGTCAAAATAATTCGATCGTTATCGACACCAGTCAGAAGATGCGTCGATTGTGCAGTCGGTGGTCACGAATGTTGTCTCCATGATGATGATTTCCCATAGTGTAGTCTCTGCTGCATTCGTGCCGTTGATTCCGCACCGATCCGACGATCCACGTTCTCCTGTCATTTTTCTGCTTGCAGATTTTACCAAGTAGGTAATACTCTGGCAGATTTCTGACTCCGCAGATGATTTGCGCGCCAAATTCGTCACCGAATGAAGAAATTCGAATCTGGTTGTCCAGATGATGTCAGCGGTGTCGAAAGCGGCTGATTTCTTGTTCTGCGCGTCAATCTCCCTTTGTGCAGAAGTCGGCCTCCATCTCGTCCGTTGAAGTAGAAGTCGATCCGACGGTCCAAACTCCAAGCGATCTGAAGTTATTCCTGAGTCGCGTTCAGCAGCTTTCGGTGCACGGGTTGACTCGTTTCCTGCAGCAATTTTCGGTCGTCGATCTCGGCTGTCGAACGATCGGACGCTCCGAAGAATTCCGCGGTTTGCGAGGTCGTGTTCCCATTCGCGCCGAAACGCAAACTCGCTCAGATAGATTTCGTTTTCGCCTCGGTCGATCTGAAGCGTCGAATCCCCATCGGACGGATGTCGTCGGTCGCACCTCCGCTGAGTTCCGCGCAACTCCAAGTGTTGTCGCGAACTGCGAACTTCTCCGAATGTCGCAGGGAGTGTTCCGCCAGAAGTGACGCGTTCGCCAGGTCGAGGCCGTTTGCCCCCGCGAAAAATCGGCACCGTCGATGCAGTCCATCGAACGGTCGGCGAGGCATCTCGCCTTCGAAGGGGACCCCAGGTGCAACTGCGAGAGGTGAGTCGAAACTTAAATGAAAGTGCATTGTACTTACAGGAATTGAAGTTTCGATACCATCCTCCGCGTGCTCCTGGGGGCCCAGCGGTTAAGCGTTGAGCTGAAACCTTGGCTCTGATTACCAAGTGTCACAGGATTGAACGTCCCGAGGAAAGGTTTGCTCAATGTTGTACTATCAATCAGTACAAGGGGCTTTTATACTTCCAGAGTACATCAGGTAACCAGGTTTATCCTATCCAAAGGGAATAGACCCTTCTAGAAATAGAATCACCATGCGTATAGCCATGCGAGGCTATTGGCTTTAAGGGATTACGGCAGGATTACGCTAGATATAGCGCGCCAGTACATCCCGAGCCTGGTCGGTGATATAATTATAATAACAGGATAAACCAAAGGATAATGGAAAATGAGGAATAGGAAACCAAGTGAGATGAGATAAAGACCAAATGAATCAGGATAAAAAGAGGAATGAAAGAGAAAGGAAATATGGAAAGGGGAAATTGGTGTAACGGTGTCGTACTCTCACACTGACCACCACCCGATGGAACACCGCGTGAGCGACCACTGCGACCACCGTCACCTCCAGCTCCAGGCCACCCGGGCGGGAGACGATCGACCCGCCGCTGCTGCTGCTGCACCTGCTGCTGATGCTGCTGCTGCTGCTGGTCCAGCTGCGGCGCCTGCTGCTGCTGATGCTGAGGCTGCTGCGCCGGGGCACCAGCCCCAGCCCCCTCAGCAGGACTACTAGCAGGCAAGCCACCTCCACCACCGGCACCACCCCCTCCTCCGCTACCCCCGCCGCGCCCAGTCTTGGGGCAGCGACCCTTACCCGGACGAAACTGCACAGCGGCGGCGGTCTCTACAGCCGGAGCCATCTCAGCAACCGCCGCAGAACCGTCGGAGTAAGAGCACTGAGCAGGGGCACAGCCCTGAAAGGTAGAGACTGGCATGGTACCGCTAGACTGGGCGAGAGAGCGCTGACGGGTCTCTATGGCAGACAGGGTGTCGACAAAGTCAGTGAGGGTGAGGTCAGCAGGGTGGAGACTAAGGAAGTGATCGCGGGTGGTGGCAAGGCGGTCAGGGAGGCGGGTGGCAAGTAGGTAGAGGGTAGAGCAGATGGGGGGCTGAAATACACGAAGCTGGGCCTTAGTGCAGGCAGCGTGCCAGGTCGTGTCTATCGTGTGCAGGTGGGCGGCTAGGTTAGCGACAGTGGGGAAAGACGCAAGGTCAGGAAACAGCATGGGCAGGATCAGGCGACCTACGGAGGCAGAGGGCGGGGTGGAATAACGCGCAACAACAGCCTCTAGGAACTCTTGTGCCGTCCTGACTGACCTAAAGCGCGGGCGCTCGAACAGGGGAAGGGCATGACTAATCGCAAGATGAGCGACAGTGTCACGCGCAAACCAGACAGCACGAGCAAGGGTAGCAGCTGCAGCGGACTCACGGTCAGCACAGGTGGGGTCTGTGGGGAGGGGGGTCCGGGCAGGGGAGCGTACCGTCGATATGGATGGCCAGGGAGTGGCCGTCCTGCCGCTGACCAGTCAGGTGGCGCTGGAGGTCGACGAGCCACGAGTCAAACTCAATCGGCTGCCCCTCCGCATCGAAACGCAGGACCGAATCCGCCATCATGGTTGCAGCAGCAGGAGAAGGGCAGTACGGGGCAGTAGAGGGCGCGGGGCCAGCTAGGAGGCGGGGCCGACAGGGCCGACGGGGCGGCAGGGCCAGCGAGGTGGCGGGGCCAACGGGGCCGATGGGGCGGCGGGGCTAGCTAGGAGGCAGAGTCAGCGGGGCCGACTGGGCGGATTGGGCGGCGGGGCTAGCTAGGAGGCGGGGCCAACGGGGCCAATTAGGCGGCGGGGTCAGCTAGGAGGCTGGGCCGACGGGCCCGATGGGGCGGCGGGGCCAGCTAGGAGGCGGGGCCGACGGGGCCGACTGGGCCGATTGGGCGGCGGGGGAGGCGGGGCCGACGGGGCCGATGGCGCGGCGGGGCTAGCTAGGAGGCGGGGCCGACTGGGCCGACTGGTCGGCAGGGCCTGCTAGGAGGCGGGACCGGTTAGGGGACGGGGCGTGCTGGGCGACGGGGCCAGCTAGGCGACGGGGCAGCTAGAAGACGGGCCAGCACGGGCGGGGCGGCTAGGACCTAGGGCGGAAGCGCTAGGGGAAAGGGGGGGGGGGAGGGGGACCTACCTACTCATGATACCATGTTAAAGTAAGAAAAGTTAACTAAACTAGAACAGGACATACAGGGGTATGCTCCCCTATAAACTACGTGGACTGAATCGTTGTCGAGAGACCCGCTGGGGTTGCCCTTGAGGTCCTCGGGCCACAGGCCTCTATGCCTGGGGGGTTATGGGCGCACATACCCCCTACTTCACAAGCGCTTTTAGCTAAGTGGTTAGTGAATGAGTTATGACAATCGTGGCTCTGATCGTGGCTCAAGTGTTTATAAAATCGACAGAGTGTACAGCGCAAGCAACAAGGAGAACGTGACTACAGTTATAGAATTACGGTACAAACGACAGACCTAGGGCTTTATAAGCCGCAATCTGCACTTTCTGCATCCAGGACGCATGGTTTCGCGAACCATTGCAGCCACTCGCCGTGCTCTTTCCTTCTGCCGGCAGGTCGGTCCATGGAGGACTGCCAGCATCTCGCTGGCTTAGCTGTACCGCCCTCTCCCCCCTCGGCCATTAACCTCCCCCTTGCGCGTGCGTTTCGCGCGAAGTTCGCATCCCGGCATCGCGGCGTCGTTGTTTGACGTCAGCAGCTCCATACGCGATCCAGTGAGCCTCGTCGGCCCAGGGATGCTGCTCAGTAGCAGGCTCGGGAAGCAGGTAGTGGATAGGCTTGGCAATAGGCTTGGAGTTAGGTTCGGAGATAAGCTTGGTCGCGATTCCGCGTGCTGTTCGGTTAGCCGCGACTGCCAGCTAGGATTGGCGGCAGAACGCCTCTTTGGCCCTGTTGTCAGACGACACCGTGTCGTGTCGGATAGGGGTTTCAGAAGGGCCAAGGGGACGCGGGGACTAGGCGCAGAGCGGGGCCGAGGGGGCGTGGAGGGGCCAGCGGGTGGAGGGGCGCAGCAAGGGCGCGCGGAGGGGGGAGAGAGGCGGGGAGGAGGGGGGGGAGGGGTGACGGCGACGTGCGGCGGTGCGGCTGGTGCGAGCATGGATGGGAGTGGAGGGCGGGCCGGGGAGCAGCAGCGAGCGGCGCAGCGGAAGGAGCAGGCAGGGCGGGCGGGGTCGGAACGGCGCGTGATAGTGATCTCGGGCCCCACGGCGTCGGGCAAGACGCGCCTGGCGCTGCGCGTGGCGCGCATGGTGGGCGGCGAGGTGGTGAGCGCGGACTCGGTGCAGGTGTACCGCGGGCTGGACGTGGGCAGCGCCAAGGCCACCCGGGACGAGAGGCAGGCCGTGCCGCACCACCTGCTCGACATCCGAGAGCCGTCGCAAGGTGGGCAGTATGGCAGGTGGGCGGTATGGCAGGTGGGCGGTATGGCAGGTGGGCGGTATGGCAGGTGGGTGGTATGGCAAGGTGGGCGGTATGGCAAGGTGTGCGGTATGGCAGGTGGGCGGTATGGCAGGTGGGCGGTATGGCAGGTGGGCGGTATGGTAGGAGGGCGGTATGGCAAGGTGAGGGCATAGAATGTGGTAGGCCCTGCCTCGCACAGCAGCACAGCACGTGCCGTCCCCCTCTCTCCCCCCCACCACCCCCCCTCCCCCCAGAGTACACGGCGGGCGACTTCTTCACGGACGCCCGCGCCGCCACGGAGGACGTGCTGCGGCGGGGCGGCGTGCCGGTGGTGGTGGGCGGCACGGGGCTGTACCTCGCGTGGTTTCTGCACGGCAAGCCCAACACGCCCGTGGCCTCGCCTGAGGTGGAGTGTGCCGTGCAGCGCGAGATAGAGGCGGCCGTCATGGCGGGCAGGCGGGCCAGGCGGGCCAGGGCGCACGGGATGGGGTGGGGCAGGGAGGAAGGAGGTGGCGCGGTGGACGGAGGAGGGAGGCAGGCAACAGGCGGAGAAGGCGGAGAAGGCGGAGGGGCAGCAGAAGTAGCGATGGAGGGAAGGGCAACGTTGGATGCATCAGCGGCCGCAGCAACTGCAGCAGTGGAGGCAGGAGAGGGAGGCGAGGGAGCGAGGGGCAGAGGAGAGGGAATGGCGTGGAGTGCAGAGGCGTGGAGGGAGGAGGGCAGCCATGGTGCGGATGTGGAAGGAGATGGGGCTGACGACAGCAACGACAGCATGGGACATACCCAAGGGGGGATGGGGTACGAGGCGACGGAGCAGGGAGCGGCGAGCCGGCAGGCGAGTGTGAGGTACAGGGAGGAGGGCGACTGGGAGGCGGCAGTGGGTGCTCTCGCTACTGCAGGGGATCCAATCACAGCAGGCCAGCTGGCACGAAATGACTGGTACCGGCTCACAAGGGCTTTTGAAATCCTCAGGGTATGTGTGGCTGATTGTGTGTTTCTGGTGTGAGTGTGTGTGCGTGCTCAAGAGGCATTTGTGTGCGTGGCGAGTGACAGACAGTCAGTGCCACCGATCTCCCATTCCTTTATCCCTCCTCACCTTCCTTCTACCTTCTCTTCGTTTCTCCTTCTCTCCACTTTACTCCCTGCACGTGCATGTGCCTGCCTGTCCCCCTCAGGCCACGGGTCGCCCTCGCTGCGAGATCGCTGTGCCGTCCCACCAGGCTAAGGAGGCCGCGCCTGCTGCTGCTGCTGCTGCTGTGTGTGCGTCGCCCGCTCCACCGTTCGCCTTCCACTGCTTCTTTCTGGACGCCCCTCGCCTGCCGCTGTACCGCCGGATTGACAGGCGCTGCGAGGAGATGGTGCAGGGTGAGGCTCGGTGCAGTGCAGGGTGAGGCTCGGTGCAAGGCTCGGTGCAGGGTGAGGCTCGGTGCAGGGTGAGGCTCGGTGCAAGGCTCGGTGCCGGGTGAGCTTCACCTTTTTATTTCCCCCCCTACCAGGCTCATCGCAAGGTGAGACTCGGCGCAAGGTGAGGCTCGGCACAAGGTGAGGCTCGGTGCATGTTGAGGCTCGGTGCAAGGTAAGGCTCGGTGCAAGTTGAGGATCGGTGCAAGATGAGGCTCAGTGCAAGTTGAGGCTCGGTGCAAGTTAAGGCTCGGTGCAAGGTGAGGCTCGATGCAAGTTGAGGCTCTGTGCAAGGTGAGGCTCGGTGCAAGTTGAGGCTCGGTGCAAGTTGAGGCTCGGTGCACGGTGAGGCTCAGTGCAAGTTGAGGCTCGGTGCAAGTTGAGGCTCGGTGCACGGTTAGGCTCGGTGCAAGTTGAGGCTTGGTGCAAGTTGAGGCTCGGTGCACGGTGAGGCTCAGTCAAGGAGTTTTCAGGGTTTCCAGGAAACGACTCATGGTTGTTTGGTAATGAAACTGGCTTGCTAACCCCCGTCTGCTGCTGCACTGTGCTCTCATCCCCATCCAAGCGCCCTGCACCGCACTTCTCCTGCATTTCACCTTGACTGTTTCAATTCCCCTCTTCGCCCTGCATTCTCCGTGGTCCCACCCCTCCCACTTCCCCAGCCGGGCTGCTCGAGGAGAGCCTGGCGCTGCTGGCGGCGGGGTTGCTGCCCAACACGTCCTCGCCCACACGCGCCATCGGGTACCGCCAGGCCATGGCCTTCCTGCTGCAATGCCGCCACGTGATGGCGCGAGCGCGTAGCAGAGAGGAGGAAGGACAGCACGAGCAGCAGCAGCAGGGGGGGGAGGTGCAGCGGCTGCTGCTGGCGTTCATAGAGGAGTTCCAGCAGGCGTCGCGGCGCTACGCCAAGCGCCAGACCACGTGGTTCCGCTCCCAGCCGCTCTTCCGATGGCTGCCCGCTGATGCCCCGCTGGTGAGAGGTGCTGCCCCGCTGGTGAGAGGTGCAGCTCGGACGCGTTGCAGCATGTTGTGAGGCGGCGCAAGACAGCACACGAGTGGTGCTGCCCGTAACATACTATCAACCTTCTCCTTGCACTCGTGTCATCTCTTGCACTCGTGTCATCCCTTGCACTCGTGCCAACTGCTGTCCCCGTGGCACCTGCCGTACCCGTGTCATCTGCTGCATCCGTGTCATCTGCTGCATCCGTGTCATCTGCTGCATCCGTGTCATCTCTGTGCTCTCATGTGCACTGGCGCCCTCAGCGTCTGCGGTGCTGTGATTGCATCCCCCTCACCACGGAGCTCCTCCCTCATCCCCCCCCCCCGCTGCTCGTCCCAGGACGACCTGGTGGCCATGGTGCTGCAGCAATACAACGCACCCTCTCCACAACCCACACGCGTAGAGGGGCAGCAGGGTGTGGAGGGGCAGCAGGGTGCGGAGGGGCGGGACGGGGCAGGTTGCAGGGCCGACGTGAATGGTGTTGGCGGCAGCGGGCATGCTGGGGGGGTAGGTGAGGGGGAGGCGCGGCGGCAGCAGCGCAAGGAGCGCAAGGAGGAGGAGCGCGAGCTCAAAGGGTACCGCGCGAAGCTCGAGTACGCCGCACTCCCAACCTCGCCTCCAGATTTTCCACTCCTTCCTCCCACCGTTTCCTCCCGAAGCTTCCAGAATGTTCATCCCTGTCTTTCTCTTCCCAATTCCGAGGTTTTCCTTGAGTGCTTTTCCCCCAGGAGCTGCTTGGTTGCCCTCATCCATCCTCTTCATTGGCTAGCTGCAGCCCGTGGCTGGGCCATGATCCCATGCCGGACATGATTACATTCTCCTCTGCTCCCACCCACGCTGTGCGTGCGCTCACTCACCACCAGGATATTTTGTGAGCAGCACGCTATTGACGCCACCGTGACGTGGATTCAGGCTAGCGTCAAGCTGCAGCCACACTGCTCAGGAGATGGGCCAGCACGCATGGGCGCTATCAGTGTGCATTCACAAGCATAAGTGTAGTTCAGTACTTGTACAACAAAGCCTAGTGGCATGTTTCAAAGTTGGCTCTTTCTGTCAAACATTTGTGTATCTAATGTTTGTATAGACTGTATAGGGTCACCTCTTAGAGAGTACAACCCTTAGACATATATCCTTGTACCCATGTTCTCTATTCATTCATTATTCAGTTCTAAGATGGTATCAGCAGTAGGTAGGTCCCGCCGCCCGCCCACGCTTCCGCTCTAGGACCTAGCCGCCCCCGCGCCCGCCCTAGCCGCCCATCCTCGCCGCCCGTCCTAGCCGCGCCTGCGCGCCCGTCCTACCGGCCCCTCCGCCCGTCCTACCCGGCCCCCGCGCCCGTCCTAACCGCGCCCGCGCGCCCGCCCTAGCTGCGCCCGCGCGCCCGTCCTCCTGGCCCCCGCGCCCATCCTAGCTGGCCCCCGCGCCCGTCCTACCGTCTCCCGCGCCCGTCCTACCGGCCCCTCCACCCGTCCTAGCCGGCCCCGCGCCCGTCCTAGCTGACCCACGCGCCCGTCCTAGCCGGCCCCGCGCCCTTCCTAGCTGGCCCCTGCGCCCGTCCTATCAGCCCCCGCGCCCGTCCTAACGGCCCCCGCGCCCGTCCTAGCCGGCCCCGCGCCCGTCCTAGCTGGCCCCGCGCCCGTCCTAGCTGGCCCCTGCGCCCGTCCTACCAGCCCCCGCGCCCGTCCTAACGGCCCCCGCGCCCGTCCTAGCTGGCCCCCGCGCCCGTCCTATAGGCCCCCGCGCCCGTCCTAACGGCCCCCGCGCCCGTCCTAACGGTCCCCGCGCCCGTCCTAGCCTGCCCTGTGCCCGTCCTAGCTGGCCTCGCGCCCGTCCTAGCTGGCCCCGCGCCCGTCCTAGCTGGCCCCGCGCCCGTCCTAGCTGGCCCCTGCGCCCGTCCTACCGGCCCCCGCGCCCGTCCTAGCCGGCCCCACGCCCGTACTACCAGCCCCAGCGCCCGCCCTACTGGCCCCCGCGCCCGTCCTGCCAACCCCTGTGCGAGCCTTGCCCGTCAACCTCCGACCCCGTGCTCACCTCCCTGGTACGGTTCTGCATCCTCTTGCACCGCACTGCACCGCACTGCACCGCCCTGCATCGCACTGTACCGCACTGCACCGCACTGCCCCCCGCAGTGTCCCGCCCTGCATCGCACTGCACTGTTCCTCATGGCGGGGGAGCTTCGCTTCGACGCTGAAGGCCAGACTCTGGAGTTCGAGGCCTAGCTAGCCGACCTCCGCCGCCACCTCACTGGCCAGCGGCAGGATGGCCACCCGCTTTCGGTACACCTTGACGGTACGCTTCCCTGCCCACACCCCCCTGCTGTGCTGCCAGCTGACCCCACACCTACTGAGCGTGAGTCTGCTGCGGCCGCTGCCCTTGCTCGCTCTGTCTGGCTTTCCCGTGACGCTGTCGCACAGCTTGCTATTAGCAATGCCCTCCCCCCGTCTGAGCGCCCACGCTTTCGGTCTCTCACCACCGCCCAGGCTTTCTTAGATGATGTTATCAAGCGCTATTCCACCCCACCTGCTGCCTCGGTGGGTCGCCTGATCCTCCTTCTCCTCTTCCCTGACGTAGCGTCGTTCCCCACGGTTGCTGATCTAGCTGCCCACCTCCGCACGATAGATGAGACCTGGCACGCTGCCTGCACTGACGCACAGCTTAGAGCCCATCAGCCGTCCCTTACCTCTACCCTCTACTTGCTTGCCACCCGCCTCCCTGACCGCCTTGCCGCTGCTCATGACCGCTTCCTTAGCATTCACCCTGGTGACCTCACCCTCACAGACTTTGTAGACACCCTGACTGTTATCGAGACCCGCCATCGCTCTATCGCCCAGGCGAGCGGTACTGTGCCGGTCCCTATCTTTCAGGGTTGTGCCCCCGCTCAGTGCACCTTCTCCGATGGTTCTGCAGCTGTGGCTGAGACCGCCGCTGCAGCGCAGTTCCGTCCGGGGAAGGGTCGCCGCCCCAAGTCTGGGTGCGGCGGAGGGGGTGGGGGTGCAGGTGGAGGTAGTGGTGGAGTCCGGTCGCTTGGTGGTGGAGCGAACGAGGGGACCCTGCCGAGTACGGCTGAGCAGCCGCCCCAGCAGCCGCAGCAGCAGCAGCCCCCGCACCAGCCGCAGCAGCCGCAGCAGACGAGGCCGGCGAGTGGCCTCCCGCCCGAGTGGCCAGCCGCTGGTGGTGGCCGTGTGCGTGGTGGTGTACCGGGTGGCGGTTCGGGAGGCGTGCGCTGTCAGTACCAGCTCCAGACCGGTCCTCGCCGTGGCTTCGTTTGCGATAAGATCGGTCACACCACTTCCCGCTGTTTTTGTCGCCTGGACGACCTGTTTCGTCAGCACTTCGGCCCGTCGCTCGACCTCCTGGACTGGCACAGTTTGCTTAGTCATAGAGTTCCGATTTTTGACATGGACATGGATGCCATTGTTGCTGCCCTGCATGTGATGTATGCTGATGACTCTAGTGTGCTACCCTCTTATTACTCCTTGTCACCTAGTGTAGGTGTGCCTAGCTTAGCCTCCCTGCTGCGTCAGGCGTAGGAGCTCCTGCCTTGTTTAGCCTTGGTGCCTCCGTCGTTCCCCCGTCGCCAGACGCCACTGCTGCGCTTTCCTTCACCTTGGACTCTGGCGCTTCACGGTGTTTCTTCCGCGACTCCACTACGCTGACGCCACTTCCTGTTCCTGCTGCAGTTTCCCTTGCTGACCCCTCCGGCGGTCCAGTAGTCGCCCGCAGTTCCACCACACTTCCCTGTCCGGCGGTTCCTTTGGGCTCTCTTACAGGTCTGCATATCCCCTCGTTCTCCAGGAACCTCGTTGGTGTCGGCTGCCTCCAGGACCTTGGCGTCACCACTACGTTCCGTGGTCACGAGCGGTATGCTGTCTGTACCGAGGCTGCCACTGGTGCCCCCCTTTCCACGTTCCCCCGGGACCCGGTGTCCGGCCTGTTCACCCTGGACACCGTGCCCCCCCCGGCTGGGGCGCCCCCTCAGGTGGCTGCATCTTCCCAGGTTGCTGCTGCCTGCTCCTGTCAGTCCCACACTCACCCGACTCTCCTGTGGCACCACCGCCTAAGTCACCCTGCGCTCCCGCGTCTGCGTCACATGTCCCAGCACAGTCTCATCCTTGGTCTCCCTGGTTCGTTTCCCGCTTTTCCCTCCTCCCCCGCCCCACTGTGCATGCCTTGTGTCGAGGGTCGGCTTCACCGTGCCCCACACTCCTCCTCGTTTCCCCCTACCGCCGCGCCGCTGCAGACCCTACACACGGACATCTGAAGCCCCGCCCCCGTCCATGGGCCGCGTCGAGAGCGCCACTTCCTCGTGCTTGTCGACGACTTCACTCGCTACACCACATTTTTTCCCCTGGACCGGAAGGCCGATGTGCCTGACGCTCTCATCCCGTGGCTTGTCTCTGCTTGTGTCCACCGAGGTCTCCCTGTCTTGCGTCTTCACTCAGACCATGGTGGCGAGTTTGCCTCAGGTGTCGTTGGTCGCTTCTGTCGTGCGGAGGGCATCACCCAGACGTTCACCCAGACGTTCACCCTGCCGGACTCCCTGCAGCAGAATGGGGTCGCTGAGCGACGCATCGGTTTGGTCATGGAGGTGGCTCGCACCTCCATGATTCATGCCGGTGCACCCCATTTTCTGTGGCCGTTCGCCGTGCGCTACGCTGCTCACCAGCTTAACCTGTGGCCGCACCCCTAGCGGCCGCATGTTTCGCCGACCCTTCTTTGGACCGGGTCTCCTGGTGACGCGTCTACGTTCCACGTCTAAGGCTGCCTTGCTCACGTTCGTGCCTCTGGCACGGACAAGCTCACTGCCCGCACCCTTCCCTGTGTCTTCCTCGGTTTTCCCCTTGACGCGTCCGACTGGCACTTCTACCACCCGCCGTCTCACCGGTTCTTTCACTCTCGCAACGTCACCTTTGACGAGTCCGTCTCCTTCTACTGTTGCTTCCCCTACCGCGGTCCCCCTGTTACTCCCCCCCTGTTCCTGGTCACTCCTTCCCCGGCGGTCCCTGCCCCCCCCCCCTCCCCCTCCCCGTCCTGCCCCCTCTGGTGTGTCCCACGTCACCCCTCTCCCGTCGGTTGTCCCGGTTGAGGAGTCTTCTGACTCTGGTGGTCCTGCGGCGCAGTCCTCCCCGTCTGCCCCTCCCCAGGTGTCTCCTCCTCCACAGCCTCTGCAGCCGCCGTCGACTCTGCTGTCACAGCCGTCGTCTCCGCCGCCGCCGCCGCCGCACCCGTCGTTACCGCCGCCGCCGTCGCAGCAGCAGTTCGTCGACTCTGGGGGTGCTCGCGTTGGGGTGGGTACTCGTCCTGGGGTTCCTGTCGTGGCCTGTCCCGGTGGCCCTGGGAGTGGTACCGGTGCTTGCGGGGTTTCGGGCTCTGGGGGTGTTCCTTCCGGGGGTGCAGGAGTGGCGTGTCCCGGAGGTAGCCTAGGAGCAGCTTGCAGTCCCGGTGTTGGTGTTGAGCCGCCGCAGCAGCAGTCCCCACCGGTGTCAGCCCTTCGCCTGCTCGGCCTTTCGTCCCCTGACCCTACGTCTGTTCCTCTCCTGCCGTCTCCTCCTCTTCCTGTCTACAGCCCTGTGTTCCCTCCGCCGGACTCGTCCCCGGCTCGTCTTCCCCCTCGCTCCCCCCTTGTGTCCCCTCCTCTGTCTCCTGACCCGACGCCTCCGTCTCACGTCTGGTCTCGCCGTCCCTCTCGTGCTTGCCCGATCTCCCCTGTCATGCGCTCTCACCCTTTGTTGCTCCGTTCCCACGCATCTCGTCCTCCCCTTCTACCGTCGCCTCCTCCATCCTCTCTTACCATTGCACCTCCTCCTCTGTCTGACTACCTTCGTGCCGCTCGTCCTCTTGTTCCTCGAGTCCACGCCTCTCTCGTTACCGACCCGTCCGTTCCGGTCTCGTGTCTTGACGCTCTTGTCGCTGCGGTCGCTGACTTCGCCTATACCCGCCGCCTTGACTACGCCACCGCTTTGGTCTCTGACCCTGCTTGTCCTCCGTCTGTCGGGGGTGCTCCTGCCCTCGGCAGTGACGTCCTGGAGGACCGCCAGTTTGAGCTTGCTTTCCTGTCCGAGGCTGCTCCCCATCTCTGTTCCATGCTGCTAGTCCCTGAGGGTGACCCAGACGCTTTCGACATCCCGACCCCTCGCACTTACGCTGAGGCGACCTCGGGTCCCTGGGCCTC